GAACAAAGCAAATCCATCCCATCACCTTCCTCTCCGCATTCTGCCCCAATGCCTGGGGCTTTGTATTTTTAGACATGCTCAATAAAATAAACACTCTTATTTAGGTAAGCACTTAGTTTTAGAGGTGAGTCACCCCTGGGCAGAGGGTCAGCCCAAGTCCTATGTGCCACTTAAATTCAACTTAAGCCATATTTTGAGGTCTTAAGTGGGATTTAATTGGTGAATAGTCCTTGGGCTGGTCCTCTGAGCTTAAGTATAAAATAATATAGACCGCATCCTGTGCAGAAAGCAAGAGCTTGATCCTGCTCTCATTGAAGTCAGTAGCACATCAATGGGCGTACAATCAGTCCCTGAGTTTCTCTTTCTTTTCTCCCTCAACTCAACTGTGCAGGTATTAATTCTCTATTCCCAACAGACCTTTCCACTCCTTGAATTCTTTGCTACAGTAGAAGCCATTAAACAGTCAACACTTGCCAATCATTACCTCACAGTCACCCCAGTTATGTACTAAATTCAAAGAAAAACTTTAATGATCTCGTATACCACTGTGTGGTAACTGTTACATTGGCTTTTTTAGTGGCGCCTCCTATACTATATGGAGAAACACCCATGCATGTGGGTCATAGGGGATAAGGTGTCAAAGAAATGAACCAGATCTTCAGCTGGTAAATATCAGTGCAACTCTACTGAAGTCAATGTAGCTGTGCCAATAAATGTCAGCTGACGATCTGGCCTAATGTTTGTAAAACCCATGGTCACAGACTTCGGTGTGAGAGAATTGTGCAGTTATTCCTTGTGCGGATCAGCTTAGATTAAGAAATTAACAATTAAAACAAGATTTTTTTAAATCCCCTATTAGGTACATTTCCTCTGCTTGCTCAAGCGTCTGGTAGGAACATTCACACAACAGAAACACCAAGCAACAGTTTACACAGAGTCAGGATTTTTAACCTTCTGAAATTTCAGCACCTAATGAATCCACGAAAGACATCTGATGTGCTGTAGTTTAACATATAAACTTTAACAGTGTCAGATTCTTCAGAGTATTTTGCCATCGATGCAGAATATTAACATTAGTGGTTAATGAGAAATTTTGAATGAACTCTAGTCCAGCACCTTTTAAGTCATTTTTGTAGGGTCTAAATGTGGTGTACACCAGTCAGAGGCATTTTGAAATGTGCATTCTGGAAGAAGCAATTCTAGATTTTAAAAAAATATATCTACAGTTATTTCATAATTAAACACTAATCCAAGAAAGTCTCCAAGTCATGGCAATATTATTTTCCTGATGAAAAGCCAATAATATCCTTGTAAAACACCAAAGCCGCCTCCCCTTTAACCCACGTGGGTAAAATATAAAGGGATGGTCTCCATTTCACATACATGCTAAATTTAAGACTGAATTAAGGCCAAAAAGAAGTGCATAGGTTTCTTGTGATTCCCAAGAGGAGAGAACACTATCATAGCCCATGGCACTACTTGTTAACCCCTTCAGATGGTCCAGTCCTGAAATCTTTCACTGGCAACATTTCTATTGACTTCAACAGAAATTTGGCCTGCATATGGTCTACGGGATCATTCTCATTCCGTATTCGAAGATGTCTGAAAATAAAAGACCACACACCATTTAAACTCCTTTCTGCCTAATATTTCTATAAACAGAGATGTGCACAGTGCAAATACTTCAACTTTCTCATGTGAAATGTGTCATTTAAACAAAAGCTCCTGTACTCCTAAACTCTGCCTGCAGATATTCAGACAGCCAATGGGCGTTAGGCATATATCTGAAGGCAGAGCTTTCCCCAACATCTTTAACTGCTACCAAAAAAAAAAAATTATGTATGAGTCCTCTATTAACTATAGCGCTTTAACACTTATGGATGTGCTTAAGTTTGTGTGCTAAAGTGCTGGGCTCATTTGTGGCCTTTATATGTTGATTTGTTGTTGTTGTTATTGTTATATGAATGTGTGTGAAATATGGATAGCCACAAACATAGGTTTTGGTTAAACAAGCTTCTGTGAAACCCACATTTTACAATACATTTTATTTACTTTTATAGCCCCTTAGATCCAAAGAATTCTTTAAAAACTTATTTGAAAATCAATGTTTTTTGTTTGAATTTAAACATTGCCCTGCAGTATTTGAAGCCTAAGCCCTGAGCTACTGCAGGAGAACCAGAGAGGGAGACTGACTAGTCTATTTTCCTTGTCCTAATTAAGGAAAATGTAAAAAGTAAACAAACCATGTCAATGGTAAAAAGTAATGTTAAAAAATTGTTCACTTTTAATAATCTAAGGTGTTATTACTATCAGACAGAGATTTTTAAAAAATAGCTAAACAGGCTCCATGCATTCCTCCAACGGCAGTCTGCTATGCTCCCAATGTTATGGTGCCTCCTCTGGAAGTGAATAAAGTGGGTTGTGGTGCTTTAAGCTGTGGCCAGTCCTCCACAGGAGCCCCAGCTGGTGAGACTTCCTGGGCAATGCTATGTAGGATTGTGATTAAAAGCAGGGCTGCATGATTTTTTTTCAGCCTCACAGTGACTCTCTAATTACCCTTTTCTCCTCAATTCCATTTAGTTGAAACAAGATCATGCGATCAAAAATTGTCCTGTTAATTATCCCAGATCCTCTACCTGGACTTAACTGTGCTTGGCACAGGACCAGGTGATGAGGACAAACGCAGCTTGAGCCCACCTTTGTGTTCCTGATCTGTGAGGCAGCTCGGGGAGGGGGCAGACCAGCCTCCCGTGTAAGTCACAGCAAACAAAATGTGAAAAAATATTATTTTAAACTGCCCTTGGTTTACAACAAAAACATTTTGGTTTTTATTTTTTGCTTTTTTCCTTCCTTCTTTTTCTTTCCCTATTTTCAGTAGCAAAACAGAAAATGAGAGAAAAGGAGGGAAAAAAACCAAATTGAATATTTCCAAAAGTGAAAAACAAATCAAAATGATTTTGAAACCAGTAAAATTTTTTGCTAACATTTTCAAAAGCAGTTTCAACTAAAACATTTTAGAAATTTTCCAAAAAATTGATCAACTTTTTCCAGCCAGCTCTAGAGCAATGTGAATTCTGCTCTAACCTATGCCAAGCGCAATGGTTCATGGCTTGAGAGGGGCCATTCTAGTGGCTGTAGTGGTGCATTGGCCACGTCATTTTTTCAACAGACACACACTGCAGACCTGGGCTGTGAAATGGGGCATTAGAGCCTCTACCTTACTCTGTGCTACCCAATGAGAGGGAATCCTTAAGGTCTCAAATCCACCATTTCCAGCTGCTTTGATCTACTCTAGAGCAGCTCCAAGAATGGGCCCCTGCCTCGATGCCTGAGGAATCAGACAGAACTTCACAAATGCAAGCTGTAACCGCATGCCCAGATACGTGTTTTAGAAAAAAGTAGATGAAACACACCAGCAAAATCTGTCCACACACTGAAAAAATAGAAAGCTGTAATAAAACAAATCGGGCCAAATTCTGCTCTCCGTTTACTGTAAGCTACTTCGGTGCACTTTCTCTGGATTTACACTAGTGTAAATAATGGCAGAATCTGGCCCTTAGAACAGTGGTCCCCAAACTTTTCCTCTCGCACCCTCCCCCTTACCAGTAATATAATGTGTCTGCGGCCGCCCCGGGAGCGGAGTTGTGGCCAGGCTGGGGGCCGCAGCTGGGGCCAGGAGCGGGGGCCAGCGGCTGAGAGTGGGGGCAGGAGCAGAGCTGTGGCCAGGGCCAGGAGTGGAGTCAGGGCGTCAGCTGTGGCCAGGAGCTGGGGGTGGAGCGGAACTGGGGGCAGAGCGGGGCTGGATGGAGCTCCCTCCCCACCTCCTGGTAGGGGCTGGCCTGGGCCCTGCTGTGCTGCCCACAAACGTTCCTCTGCGCACACACCTCGGGGGTATGCCCACAGTTTGGGGACCACTGCCTTAGGGACTAGTTTTAAGGGCTCTGTTAAAGAAAAGTTTTCTTAATATGAAATATTGCCAGGATAAACCAAAGGATTCACAAACTTGGTAATTTTTCTCTCTCTCTCAGACAATATTCTTAGAGCTGTTACTCTCCAAATCAGGCATTCTAAATAATACCTACATTTCCTGACTAGAAAGTGTTAAGAACTTTTCTATATACAGTATAAAATAACCTACTTTTAACAGAGCCAGTACTGCTCCAATTGAAGTCCATGATAAAATTAATGAGATAATTACCAGAGAGATCAATGGCAGCAGGATCTGGATCAGGCCCCACAGCAGCATCTTAAAGCCCCAATCCTGCAGATGCTTTACTTTACCCATGTAAGTAGTCAGTCTCATTGACCTGAATGTGTGTAAAGTTAAGTGTCTGCAGGATTAGGGCCTAAATTTGTAATCTGAATATTTTTTGGCAATTTTACAACTAATTAATCAATTGCATTTTAGTTTAGCTAATTAATTATTTGCATTCTGCACATGCCTGGGGAAGAGGGAGGGGAAAAAATCTGGTTAATATTAATAAACCAAAATAACTTTTATTTACATCAATGACTTCCTGTGCACATTATTCACACTGTAAAAATATTTCTTCAAACCTTCTCACCTTGACTTTTAATCTTACCAAAGCAAAAATAGACATTTTCTAATAGAAAAATACAAGGTAAAGATACCTAAAAATAAAATGCTAGCATGGAATGTCATTTTTATAAAAAAAAAAAAATCTTTTGAATTACCATTACTGTACAAACACTCCCCTATCATTAATATTTACAGAGTCTGGATCGTACCCTCCTCTCACTGAAATCAGGGGGACTTCTGCCGTTGACTTCAATGGGAGCAGAAGCCGGCTCTTTAGGTACTGCACTAGCCTTTCTGCCGCCCCAAGCAAGAAAAAAAAGCCGCGATCGGCGGCAGCAGTTCAGCGGCAGGTCCTTCGCTTCTAGAGGGAGTGAGGGACCTGCCGCCCCAGAACTGCCGCAGGTGCCGCCCCTCTCCCTTGGCCGCCCCAAGAACCTGCTTGTTAAGCTGGAGCCTGGAGCCGGCCCTGCTAAGAGGTGGTGATGATGGAGAGAGAGAAGGATGATAACTCTTCTGGGATGTTTTTTTATAATATAAAACCATATGTCAGGCTGAAGAAAAAGCAAATCCACTCTAGGGTTCTGCTTCTCCCCTTGCTTATGTCTCATACCAGTGAAACTCCACTGACTGCAATGGAGCTACTCTTGACTTACACTAGTATAAGTGAGAAGAGATGCAGTCTCTGTATACCCTGTCTTCATTTTGATACTGTACGTGCAATGAAAAAATGACTTGAGTGCTTCCACCCTCTTTACTTTCTCGATAGTTATTTACATCCCAAGTGCCAACTCCTGAGATTAAATTCTCAGTCTAATCCTGCACCCACTGAGGTCCATGGCAAAGTGGCCCATTGGTTTCAATAATGCAGGAAGCCCATAATGAAGACATTTTTATTTTAATGGCAAAGCAGCATTGAAACCACATTTTGATATCCTTGCTTGTGATGCAGCTAAGAAAGGAAGCACTAGGAGTTAAAAAGAAGGGGTCAGGAAGAAGCATTCCCAGCCCTAAGCACAAAACTGCTGCCCTCAATAAATGTCTTAGAAAATACCCTCTCAAAACACTAAGAACGTCCTACAATGTGAAACTATCTTTTTTTTTCCCCACGAGATGAAAGGCCATGTGGCATAATGTGATTAGTAAATCATTCCTGAGTTTCTGAAAGAAATTAAGACAAAATGACTCTACTGCTTAAAGAATGAGTTCTTCAAGAGCCTCTTCTTTTACACTGATGTCTTTGGTTTTGTCCATTTCCCTAAAGTTTTTTTCAGGAAGAATGGGATTTTTTTTCTTCTTTACGCAGCAGAAAAATGAGATCTAATGGAGTCTTCACGTAACTGCCGATGCTTGCCCACATTACACTCTTCCTGTTGACTTCGTCTCTCAATAGTTATTCTGTATTTCTTTCTGCATGAAAGGAGAGGAATAGAGTAAGAAATCCTCCCTCAATAACAAGATAATAGGACTTCTCTTTCAAAGAATGCCTATAGGGGACAACTGGGTTTCTGTTGAGAAATGAGAAGTGACAGAATCTGAAACCCTGGTAAAAGATTAAAGTCGTTTGCCTTGAAGCATTTTGCCCTAGCCCAAGAATTCTGTGTAAAAGTTAACAGGCATTCTCAAGGCACGCAGACACAAACATTTTCTTTTTTGACAATCTGTGAACTAAACGATTAGGACGTTTTTGTATAGTGGCCTGGGAACTATGCCAGATTACTCTTTTTGCATTGATCAGAGCCAAATTACTTTCTTATACCAGACGTGGGGGCCACTTTCTGTGGGATCTGCACAATAGATCTGGCTCTTTATGCAGTCAAAACTCCCATTGAAGCCAGATACTATCTAATTAACTCCTCACAACATCTACATGAGATAGATTAGTGTGTTTATGATATCACTGGAAGTATTATCTGTGTAATTAACACTGGATCCAGCCCTAAGGATCTTAAGGAAAACTGGAAAAGAGATTTAAATGATATCTAAGGGGTATATTAAATTGCTTGTGCATCAGCCATGGTTTTCCATGTGTGCCCACCTCAAGCCCTTATCAAGAGTTTCTTTATATTATTCATACATCAAAGTAAGGTACTAAACCCACTTCCTCCCATAAACCTCCAGAATGAAATTTTAGAAACTCTGAGTCTAATATTTTTAACGTTACACCTATGAGCCCACTGGGTTTCAGGGCTAATTATTCAAAAGGGCCTCAAACCAGCCCCTGTTGTATATGCAGTTTTTGCACAATATTGCTTTTGCACACAAATGACACAATGTTCACATACAAAGGAAATTTGCATTCAATTTTCATGAACAAGAGGGATTTAAGTCCAGGATTTCCAAAGTTAGGCTTCTGAAGATGCAGATAGGCACTTAACCTGCTAACACCCTTTTGAAAATGCTAACAAGTGCCTAACTCCCATTGATTTTGAGTTAGGCACTTTGATTTCAAAGTGCTAACAAGTGCCGAACTCCCATTGAAACTGCTTTTGAAAATCCCACTAGGCATCTATCTGAATCTTTAGGTACCTAAATACCTTTAAAAAACAGACTCTTACTGTATATATATTCTATTATTTCTTTGTGCATGGAAGTTGAGGCACAAAACCAGGCCATTTTTGGAAATATACCCTTTTACTTCCTTTCAACACAATATATCAGAAGAACTATGGTTTTGATTTTTTAACAAAGTGCAGTTGTACACTCAAAGATATGCAAGAAGTTGTATGCCTAATTGTGGTAATTACACATGCAGATGACCAAATAGTTGTATAACTATATTTGCATGCACATTAGTGTAACTGCTGCATAACTGTGGATATGCATACAAATAACTTTTGTGAACATAATCCCATATGCACTTTTCTTAAAATCTGGCCCTATATGTCCAGTGAATATATGCCAGGTCTGATATTTAATTCTTGCCATTCATTTTAATGGATGAATTAAGGCCCTGACCCTCCTCCCCCTAGCGTCAATGGGTGCAGAATCAGTCCCCAAATGTCAAAGTCAGAAGCACTTAGGGGCAAGTCCTCTGCTGGTGCATACTGTCAGTTTACACCACCTATGGATTTGCCCCCTGGTGTGTGTAAAGTTAAAAAAAAAAATACCACCTTTACATTTTGTAGTTTCAAATTGGGAGTGTTGTAAAAGGTGCAAGGGTCTGGCTGTGACCATGCACAAAGTACATTATAAAGGCACATTTGTACCATTTTTTGTCTTTTTCAAAACATAAATGGGGTCTTTAATCAATCCTGTTCATTTGATAAATGGGTGCTTTGTTTGAGCCCCACAAGATGTACTGAACATGCACTGACGCAGGCAACAGTAAGTTTTCCTTGTGGACATATATCCTAGAATCATAGAAGTGTAGGACTGAAAGGGACCTGTAGAGATCTAGTCCAGTCCCCTGCACTCAAGGGAGGACTAAGTATTATAGACCAGCCCCGACAGGTGTTTGTCTAACCTGCTCTTAAAAGTCTCCAATAACAGAGATTCTACAACCTCCTTTGACAATGTATTCCAGTGCTTAACTACCCTGACAGTTAAGAAGTTTTTCCTAATGTCCAACCTAAATCACCCTTGCTGCAATTTAAGCCCATTGTTGCTTGTCCTATCCTCAGAGGTTAAGGAGAACAATTTTTCACCCTCCTCCTTGTAACAAATTTTTATGTACTTGAAAACTGTTATCCCGTCCCCCTCAGTCTTTTCTTCTCCAGAGTAAACAAACCCATTTTTTTCAATTTTCCCTCATAGGTCATGTTTTCTAGACCTTTAATCATTTTTGTTGCTCTTCTCTGGACTTTCTCCAATTTGTCCACATCTTTCTTGAAATGTTGCGCCCAGAATTGGACACAATACTCCAGTTGAGGCCTAATCAGCGCACAGTAGAGCAGAAGAATTACTTCTCGTGTCCTGTTTACAACACTGCTGCTAATACATCCCAGACTGATGTTTGCCTTTTTTGCAATAGTGTTACACTGTTGATTCATATTTAGCTTGTGATCCATTATGACCCCCAGATCCCTTTCCACAGTACTCTTTCCTAGGCAGTCATTTCCCATTTTGTATGTGTGCAACTGATTGTTCCTTCCTAAGTGGAGTACTTTGCATTTGTCCTTATTGAATTTCATTCTATATACTTCAGACGATTTCTCCAGTTTGTCCAGATCATTTTGAATTTTAATCCCATCCTCCAAAGCACTTGCAACCCCTCCCAGCTTGGTATCATCCGCAAACTTTATAAGTGTACTCTCTATGCCATTATCTAAATCATTGATGACAATATTTAAAAGAACCAGACCCAGGTCCGATCCCTGTGGGACCTACTTGATATGCCCTTCCAGTTTGATTGTGAACCACTGATAACTACTCTCTGGGAACAGTTTTCCAACCAGTTATGCGCCCACCTTATAGTAGCTCCATCTAGGTTGTATTTCCCTAGTTTTTTTACGAGAAGGTCATGCGAGACAGTATCAAAAGCCTTACTAAAGTCAAGATATACCACATCTACCGCTTCCCTCTACCCACAAGGCTTGTTACCGCCCTATCCACAAGGCTTGTCAAAAAAAGCTATTAGGTTGGTTTGACACAATTTGTTCTTGACAAATCCATGCTGACTGTTACTTATCACCTTATCTTCTAGGAGTTGTAAACTGATTGCTTACTTATTTGCTCCATTCTCTTTCCGGCTACTGAAGTTAAGTTGACTCATCTGTAATTCCCCAAATTGTCCTTATTTCACTTTTTATAGGTTGGCACTATATTTGCCCTCTTCCAGTCCTCTGGAATCTCTCCCATCTTTGGTGACTTTTCGAAGATAATTGCTAATGGCTCAGATATCTCCTCAGTCAGCTTCTTGAGTATTCTAGGATGTATGTCATCAGGCCATTGTGATTTAAAGACATCTAACTTGTCTAAGTAATTTTTTCCTTGTTCTTTCCCTATTTTACCTCTGAACCTACCTCATTTTCACCAGCATTCATTAAGTTAGATGTCCAATTGTTACTAAACTTTTTGTGAAAAGTGAAACAAAGAAGTCATTTAGCACTTCTGCCATTTCCACATTTTCTGTTATTGTTTCTCTCCCCCCCCCATTAAGTAATGGGCTACCCTGTCCTTGGTCTTCCTCTTGCTTCTAATGTATTTGTAGAATGTTTTCTTGTTACCCTTTATGTCTCTAACTAGTTTGATCTCGTTTTGTGTCTTGGCCTTTCTAATTTTGTCCCTACGTACTTGTGTTATTTGTTTATATTCACCCTTTGTAATTTGACCTAATTTCCACTTTTTTAGGACTCTTTTTTTGAGTTAATTGAAGATCTCTTGGTAAAGCCAGGGTGGTCTCTTGCCATATGTCCTATCTTTCCTACGCAGTGGGATAGTTTGCTCTTGTGCCTTTAATAATGTCTCTGAAAAACTGCTAACTCTCCTGGACTGTTTTTCCCCTTAGACTTTCTTCCCATGGCTGACTTAATGATATGGAGAGGGAATTAAAACTTCTTAGAGCAGTACTTTTCCACCGTAATGTGTATTCATTGACTGTGCAATTGACCAGCATCGATTGCCCAGTAGAATTTGGACTTTAAGTATCTTCTGAGCAAAACTAGTCAAATATTGGAGATATTTCAGAATGATTGCTTAAGATGGGCTTGCACATCAGAAACGCAGGTTTCACTATGTTTCATTTTGTTAACCTGTATTTCAAAAACAGCAAAAAAGGGGCAATTGTCTTAATTGTTATTGTTGCATAAAAACATTATTTCATTGTAATATACAAGGAATCAACTGTATTCTTTTTACTTTGTCTCTTCCATGCATAAGGAAATTCAGCATAACATGTATAATATGCTCAACAGTTAAGTCAATGGGAGTTTTGCCTGAGCTGTAGGATGGCCCCGAATGTTGTAGATTTGTTGGTTGACAGTACAAGAATTAAAAATACGCAAACAACCTAGCAACAGAGCATTTGGTCCTGCCTCTTGGAACCCACTGAAACTCAACAATTCCCTTTGGCCAGCCATGCTAAAGCAGTCACTTTGAAATATCTCCAGTATAATACTGTGTTATTTTGCTCAGCAATTAAATAAAGACATTACTCTGCTCTACTAGGCAGCTGGTCTTGGTCCTGTGCGTGATCACTACATGTACAATGCTGAAAAATAGGAAAGCTTTCCACACCTGTGAGCTTTATTATGTTAGCCGTGAATTTACTGGCACTACTAACACAAGTAAAATTCCCACAAGCATAAGGGATTGAAGGATCAGGGCCTAACACAATAAAGCTGACTTAAGCATGCAAAACAGCTATCGAGACAGTAAAGTGAATGAACTGGCTTCAGTGGGAGTTTTGCCCCAGAGAAGTAGGCCCTTATTTTAGCACCTGTCTGTCTCCTCTCCTCATACCAGAGAGAGGCTTGCAAGGTGTGGAGAGGTTTGGGCTCTGTAGGTAGCTAAGGAACTTTTAGTAACCGGGACTAACCTGAAAAAGTAGAAAGCCATTAGTAATCCTGCTCCAAGTAAGGCGCCCACAACGATCCCTGTAACTGCCGACTCTCCTAGGCCACCTGCTTGAAAAAGCAAAAAGAAATAAATGATCAGCAATCATACCCAGAGCTGTTCATGTTCACATTTTGGAAAATACGTGTTAAAGAAATGACCAATGCAAAAAAATAACTAGAGCTGTTTATAACCCCGTTCAGATGGGGCTTGAGGGGAACCTCTCCTTTGGTTCAAACTCATGTGATTTTATTTTCCTCTCTGCTTTACTCTGAGTGTTGGGGGTCAACCCTCCCACCACCACGAAATCAAAGGAACACTCAGTCACAATGGTAATAAAGGTGTGATATAGAGAAATGCTGGTAAGAGATGGGTGTGTATGGCCTACCCCTCACGACAGGGGCTAGGATTACAATAGATCACATGGCAGGGGTCAGGGTCTAATGACTGCAGCAGCTACTATGACAGAAACGACCGAGTTTCACCTGGGTTAGCATCAAAATCGTACACCAGCCCAGGTTAACTCAAGGATGGGCTCATCTTCACTCAGTAGCCTCATAGGCCTCAGCAAACCTTTTGATGAACCTGGGCTGAGTTTCAAGTAAAATTCATGTGATTTTAGTTCTGTGCTGAAAGTTTTCTACATGAAGTTACAGTCAACAAATGACTATCTGAACATAATCATAAATCAATATTCAGCTGAACGGTGAGAACAAAGCACTTTGCCACAGAGTTGAGTAGGGGCAGAGCAGAGATGCAATGATCCAGGGGGAGCTCAGGGAAGAAAGTCTCTCGAGGGAGCAAAAAAGGAGCATGCTCGCTGCATCAGTCTTTAGGATGGCATAGCCTGCTTCTCTTGCCATGCCTGGCCCACACCATGGGCTGGTACAGAGGGAGGGGAAGCCATGGACCCACCTCCTCTTCACTCTTCTTTGACCCTTTGAAGGGCGTTGCTGCTTCCCACCCAGAGACGCATGGAGATAACAAGGGGGCACAAATGCACTGTCTCCCTCTGTGCTAGTCGAGGACAGCCCGGGCCAGAATGAATGTATACAGAAAAGTATGGAGTACAGCTATTGTTTTAAATCTTAATGGAAAAGAGGGAAATAATACTGTCAAGCTGGCAGTATCTCCTGGCTCCAGAACTAGCAATTCATCTCCTGCAAAACCCTCCTTATAAAAGGGGAGCTAAGACCATCCTTTTGAGGGAAATGTCCACAGCAGAGGGAAACTTGCCATAGAAATATTGCAAGTATCTTTTTCCAGTCACCTCATTGTCCCCTCTGCGGGGCATGGTCTGTGAACGCAGGAACTGGAAAGAGATGGGGCTGCTCAGGTTGAGAATCTCTGGAGGGCACCATCCCAAACCCCGTGGAGAGTTAATGCTGTTCTTATCAGCAACTGTCAAAGGGGTGTGATTACGTCTTGTCGCGGGGGACAAGCTTGCATATTCCAGCTACTCACTGTGTTTGCTCCCTTCTGGCCTGCGGAGAGCTACCCGTTTATTTTCCTGGAAGGGGACTTCCATGGGCTTAGGGCAACATGGACGTATCTGTAGCATAATGGGCATGCACCAGCTTAATGATGGGAGTCTGACAAGAAGTTGCATATCTGCTTGAGCTTTTTGTTCCCAGTAGCAGCATGCAATGTCTGGGAATAAAGATATATCCCAGCCGTTCTAAACAGAACTGTTTCAATACAGCTGTCAAGGTACTGCTGGCATTTTCAGGCCCAGCAACCTTGACAGTGTTCCATTAAGGAATGTGAGTGTAAACAAGGGGATGCTGTATCACAGCATGGGCTGCTTCCTCTCTCTCTTACAGCTTGGAAGGAAACATTAAGTCACTAAACTTACATGATTTACAAGGCGTATTGTTCGTGTGCTCTAAAACTCTGTTTTCATCTATTCTCAGCTTGCCAGGACCCCAAGGATACTTCACGTTTGATCGAATTTCAAAACGCCCTTGCTTTCCATAGTAGTCCCCAATCACCTGTGTAAAAACAAGAAATGACAATGCTTTTCTAATGAATTTATTCCCAGAGAAAAGAGACACACTGGAGAGCTGCATGTGCTTGGAGCCTTGTGAAACGTCCTGATTATCCACAGGACTTGAATAAGTTGCCCTGTCAGAATCCCACTGATGCGATCATTAATTAGCAGCACTTATGGCTATGGACAAAATTCTAGATTATAAATCTATGGCTTTCCATACCCTGCTCCACTTTAGTCACTGAAATCAATCTCACCAGCTTTCTGCCCCAAACAATAAATGGCCAGGGTTCAGAGAAAATTTGGAGTTAGCTTGTTTAAAACTTTGTGATGGTTCTTGAAATGGTTCCTGTGACGGGGTGTACCAAGCCTTTTGTGGCCCACTGCTGGAGGCTCCACAATCCTACTACACCTCTCCCCAGGAAAGGAGCAGCAAAGGTGGTCCCTCCAGACCTGCCTAGAGCGGCTGCACAGACGCAGCCAATCAGAGCCTAGGAGGCTCAGATAAAAAGGAGCTGCAGAGCCTTAGCAGGTAAGTTCCTGGGACCAAGGGATGAGGAAGGGTGCTCTTCTCTGGACAAAGGAGTGTGAGTGGCAACCAGAGTTTGGTTCTGACTACAATCGTTTAAGCTGGGAGAGAGAGGACCTGAGAACTTTAACCCTAAGGTAAGGGGGTGAAGATAAAGGGGCTAGGTGAGAAGAGGTCTAGGAAAATAGCAATAATGAACTGAAGTGAGCGGTATGTGGCTGCTGTGTGTGTGTCTGCTGGTGGGCTGGAACATGGAGTAGTAGGCAGGCCCAGGCTCTCCTACCAGCCACTGGCAAAACCCTGTGAAGGGGACAAGGCTTGTTTGGGAACCTCAGCCAAGGGCTGAATTTAAAGGGCCCAGAGCCAGGACTGAAGGCCCTAGTAAGGACTCTTCCTACCCCAGAAGGGGTTCATTTTGACTGTGACCAAGCTGGAGGACTCAGCCACTGGAGGGCTACCAAGTAAGGTCGACAACCTACAGGGGTGCCAGGAGAGGGAAAGGCCTGCAGTATCTCATGCAGCAGCAGGTGCTCCAGAGGTGTTACAGGCCCGAACAAAAATCTTTTAATCTGATCTCCCACAAACTTTTTGGCATTTGAAATCTGGACTCAAATCCTGACTTTCTTGCATGGAGACCATCTCTACCAAGTTCATGGACCTCAGTAAACCAAGGGTTTTGGGGTTGTAAAGAAACTTAAAAGCAGGAGAGCTTTGCCTGATTTTGGGTTCCATTCTATAACGTTCCGAGAGGTCTACATGCATTTCTGTTTTCTGTTCAGGATTTTGGGTTCAGATGTGAGAGTTTCAAAATCTAGATTCAGATTCTGAACTCTGAACTTCCTTAAAATTCAAGGCTGTATGTAATCAAGTTTGTGAGTTGGTTCTTTCCTTAATATTATATGCCCAAGAGGACGATTCATGTTGCATACAAATAAACATATAGGATATGGTTTACTACTGCATCACTCCAGTTTAACACCAATGGAACAACAGAGCTACAACAGTATACAAATGGAGTAATACAGTAGAGAATCTGGCCCAAATTATCTGTACAACTAGCAGAGTAAAAGAGGCTGCTTTCTATCTACTTGATGAAATTCACACAGGAGAATATTTTAGGCTCCCATTTGTGGGTGCAGTTTGCAGAAATAAAACGCAAGAGCAAATGAGTATCTGCATCTCTACCTGATTTGTGCCTCCAGTCAAGTACTGCAGTTAGAGGGACAAATACCCAGATATGTGAATGGCAGGGGCAAAAATGCAGGAACAAATCCTGCCTGCAAAAGGAGAGGAGCTGCCCACCCTTCTGAAAATATTCCCTAAAATGTATAAACATTAATGAAGGGGAAAAAAAATGGAGGGCCAAATTCTGCCTTCAGGTAACATGCACGGCTGCCAGGGAAGTTAATGTGAGTGGTGTATTTGCATCAGAAGATATAATTGTCTGAACACAGATATGAATTTTCAGTTAATTCTGGGCTTAAAGTAAACTTTGTTACTTTCCTTATTTGAGCCACTGAGGCATGTTGATGGGTGAAATTCACCATTATACATAGGTCCTGCCCAAGCCAGATGTGCCACTTAAATCCTATTTTGAGGGCTTACGTAAGACTTAAATGGAGTATACTTGCTACATGCATAGGAGAATTTCACATTGAAGGAGTCTGCATTTCTCTGCCATTAGTGCAACTGTAGTTCAAATCTTTACAGGAAACACTCTTATTCATATTCCAACTAACAATTGCTCAGATATGGGACTGCAGGTGTAGCAAAGTGGAGAGAGTGCAGAAAAGAGCCACAAACATCATTCAACGGCTAGAGAAAATGCCTTACAGTGAGAGACCTGAAGAGCTCAATTTTTTTAGTGTATCAAAAACAAGCTTGAGAGGCAACTCGGTTACAGTGTATAGTACCCAGTATTTTTTCCCCCCCATGAAGGTACTTAAAGGGCTTTTTAACTGAGCGGAGAAAGGCATAACAAGAATGAATGGCTGGAACCTGAATCCAGACAAATTCACATTAGAAATGTGTGGGTGATTAACCACTGGAACAAACTGCCAAGGGAACTGATGGATTCTCTATCTCTTGATGTCTTCAAATTAAGATGGTTGCCTTTCTGGAAGTTACGTTTTAGTCAAACACCCATTACTGGGGTCAATATAGGGGTAACTGGGTGAAATGCAATGGAGCTCAGACTAGATGATCTAATGGTTCCTAATGATCTTAGAGTCTATGTATGAAGCTGTGAGCAGGGTTCTGGCCAATGCATGCACTCATCTGGCTCAATTCCATTGAGGAACTAATGTTTTCATGACCAGATGGAAGGAACCAGTGAAATAAATAAAAAAAAAAACAATGGATCAAAGAAAGAGGCCAGGTTATAAATCAGCACAGGGACAGCGGAAAAACCTGAGCAAAACAGACACAATTAACAACTAATAGATTACAAAAATGAAAGGAAGAAATTAACATGAGACATACTTTTGAAGAGAAACAGAAATACACGATCGAAGGGAGAAAAGAGAGGTTCAACTGGAAATGAAAGGCAAGCAGAAGCGAAGCAAGGGAGAATGAAATTACTAAAAAAAAATTAATACAAATAGGGGCTGATCACACTAGAGCTTTCCCCCATAATCAGCCCTACTGACTTCCAGTACCTATGACTATTCATGTAAGTATCTGCAGGTTAGGTTCATAGTTTTCAGACAATTGTATCTATAGAAATGTATTAGTGGCCTGGCCCAGCAAATCATTACTCATGTGACTAGACCTTACTCACTGGGACTATTCCAATGATGCATCCGAAGAAGTGAGTATTCACCCACGAAAGCTCATGCTCCAATACGTCTGTTAGTCTATAAGGTGCCACAGGACTCTTTGCTGCCTTTTCAGTTAGTGTGGCTCGCGGAGCTGGCCCCCTCCCTCCCATCTCTACTTACCAGGCTGGGGGTGAGGAGTCTGGGGCCTCTGCCCTGCGGTGGGGCTTGGGACTTCAGCCCCTAGACCCAGTAGGCGCCCCCCTCCACCCTACAGGGCTGAAGCCTCTAGACCTGGCAGGCACCTCCTCAAGGGCTGAAGCCCCGAGCCCCGGCAGGTGCTCCCCTCAACCCCACAGGGCAGAAGCCCTTAGTCCTAGCAGGCGCGCCCAGCCCTCAAACTTCTGAAGATTATTGCATGCGGCGTGGAACGTCAATAAGTTTGGCCACCCCTGATATAGAGCCTAGTCCTGTAAAGTCTTACACCCAAGTAATCCTTTGAGTGAGAATGGATTTGTAGAACTGGGTTTTATGCTTTAAGATTACTTTTACAAGCAGGATTTGCACTTAGGGTTTGTAGGATTATGTTATGACGTTTTAATACACACAGTTAAATAATTATCTGTCTACTGAGTAAGCAGACAATATGATGGTACATTATACTGACACTAGCTGGGATATCTCATCAGTAGGCATTTGCAATTGTTTATTTTCTTACCTCCTGTGTGCCTGCTTCTGGGTTGGTCATTGCAATCACTGAGAAATCCCCATATCGGTCTCCATTGGCATCGATGGATACCTGCCCTGCAATGCCTAGAGAATGGCATGTAAGGAATTAGAAAATTAATTAGTTAAAATGTTGGACTCTTCCAAGGAAAACAAAAATATGAGTGGACAGATTTTTACAGACTGATACTTGACAGGAAATCTCATCAGTCTCACAGCACTTTTATTGGCATTCCAGAAGAAATTGTAATTTCATCTCAGCGTCTGCATTCCGAAATGCTTAACATTTCTCCTTTTGAAATATAAAATATGTGAGCCTGTTTGGGGAATATGTGAAAAAAATTTAATCCAGAAACTCAGAGCACTGGAATAAAAATAAAAATGCATTTCATGCAAATTAATTTACATAGGGCCTTGTCCTGAAATAGCTAACAAAGCCCAAGTAAAAACACACATGCTCGTGAAGCTGAGAACTAATGAAACAGAGACCAAGGCCGGAGTCAGCAGCTCCAACATGTGGTACACCTGTGGAGCTGGTTTATTGCTGTTCTCACTGGATAGGATATGGGGGGCTATAGCTGTTTTACTGTGGGCTAAATCCTGCAATCACTTAGATTCCATAGTCTTCACTGGAGCTGAAAAATTTGATCCTGAAAGGGCAGTGTTAATCTTACAGGCTCCAGTTCAGTAAAGTACTTAATGCATAAACTTAAGTCCCACTGTCATGCTTAAACATATGTTTAAGTGCTTTGCAGAATTGGGGTCATGTTTCCTTTCTTCTCTGTTACACGCAGAGATCAAGGGCGTTATTAAACATTCACTGAAGTCAATGAGACCCTTCCCATGGAATTCAATGGCACTGAATTATGCACCCCCCACCCAAGAATATACTGTGTGGGTTTGACAGACCCACAGCTCATACAGACTTAAATCAGAGTTTGGGGTAATCAGCCCTTCTTAAGGTCAAGGCTATACCAATTCTATACATGAAATTGGGTTCAATTCCTATTTATTTCAATATTTCTGGTTACAACTTTGAGAAAGACACATTCAACACTCGTCAGTTTCTCAAGTCCTCAGCATGGCATCTGCCCTCAGTGACTAATCTCCAGTGAAACGTAGGGTCAGTTCATCCATTGGTGTAAATTGATGTAGCTCTAGTGAAGACCATGGTTCCATTCCAGTTTACACCCCCGAGGCTCTGGCTCAGAATGTATACAGGAACAGCCGCATGCATGTCTGTCAAAGACACTGCAGAACTTTGCGAATACACACTCATGACTGGGAAACTGTGTGCCAAATCCTGACATTCTTAATGAGTTTTTAATTCAGGTTTAACTCACGGAACAACTCCACTAAAGTCACTGGGCCTGATTCTTCTCTGACCCCAGTGTTACAGCAATTTGCCTTCACTGATTTCAGTGGAGTTACCCCTGAGTTATAGCGGTATAAGCAGGGCCGGCTCCAGGCACCAGCTTGTCAAGCAGGTGCTTGGGGCAGCCGCTCCGGAGAGGGGCGGCATGTCCAGGTATTTGGCGGCAATTCGGTGGACGGTCCCTCACTCCACCTGGGAGCGAAGGACCTCCCGCCGAATTGCCGCCGCAGATCGCGATCGCGGCTTTTTTTGTTTGGTTTTTGTTTGTTTGGTTGGTTTTGGCTGCTTGGGGCGGCCAAAACCCTGGAGCCAGCCCTGGGTATAAGCAAGAGCAGAATCAGGCCCACTACGAGTTTTCCCTGACTGAGCAAAAAAGTGAGCAAGGGTGTCATGATTTGACCCTGGTGAATGAATTTAGCAACTTTGGCAGATTTAGGCTCTTACTGAGTAGTCCTACTGAAATCAGGGGACCTTCTTGTGGAGTAAGGTGCTATTCACCGTGAATAAAGCTGGCAGAATCAGGCTGGCGGTCAACAAACCCAATAATAAAACAGGATAATGCAACACATAGTGCACTGTGATCGTTTATTGTGTCAGCTTTCCTGTAGTTTAATGATTATGGATAATACGTCCTAGTGTACTAGTACATGCAATGTGGCAGAGCTTGTGAAAACAATGGAATCATAAGAACACAAGACCTCTCTCCAGTGCCAATTCTTTGCTGAGGGGTGGGCAGAGAACAAGGTTCTAGTGTCGCTCCTCTTCACTCAGGGGATGAAGACAATGGACCTGAGTCTCTGCTGCACTGTGCAAAGTGAATGCACATCAGAATGGTAGCCCTTTACACCCATGCCACAGAGATGATTACGCAAGGTGCAGGGTAGTGGAGAATCAGGTCCCAAGGTGCAATTACAAACCAGGAGAGAGACTTCAGCGACTCAGTACCAGAACGTACATTTTTCTCAACAAACCTAATCTTCCCAAATGCTCAATGTGCTAAAATGCCTCACCTTTGCTCTTTTCCTATTAAAATGGAATGACCTCAGGAAAGATTAATCCGAGTTTAATCATAGGCCTACTGAGTATTAACCAAACTGTTTACAACCAAATGACTGCCTGGAGATGTAATGGTACAGTAGCCAAACAATCACAAATTTGTGTTACTATACCGGACTGAAGGATTAAAGAGTGAGCACAGCCAAATGGCAATAGCAACACTCAGAGGCCACTACCAACTTGTCTGGCATGGCAAAGCTGGCTCCCAGAACTGAAAGGAAGTGTTTACTGGAACAGAAAGCTTAGTGACTCTGGAAGCCAAGACCATCTGGCCTGAAGTCATTACTAGAGCTATTCAAAACTTGGAAGTTCTGAAACGTTCTTTCATCCTGAATTGTAATGAAAAGTTGAAAATTTCCTGCAGAACAAAATTTTGATCTGGAAATACTGAAACAACTTCATTGAAGTGCTTTGTTTTGACTTGATAAAACTATCAAAACATTAATATAATTTTTTTTTAAAAAAATCAGCATTTTCTAATAGAAAACTCTTTCATTGGAGAATTTTTGACCAGTTCTAGTCCCTATCCCTCTCCTGAAGCATTCATGCTGCCATTGACTGGCTCTCCCCTACCCCAACCTACGCAGAGGGGAGGATGTGCATGAATGTTTCTTTAGCAGCTATTAATATCCAACGGGATTCCTGACTGGACACCCATCTGATGTGGAGAGGAATGTACCATGGAGAAAAGGTGCACAGGCAGTTAGAAATCTGAATGGCAGCTACTGTTTTCAATGATCTGTGTGCAAAATTTCAGGGGCAATACAAGGCCCCATCCTGCAATGGACTCTGCATGGATGGTCTCCTGGCTCCCGCACAGAGCCCCACTGACCATGGTAGGGCTCCCCACAAGGGCAGGAGTCTGCTTGCATGGTTCTCCTTGTAGGATTGGCTCCCAAAAGGCCAGGTTGAAGACCACTTTCAACATCAGCCCTATAATTAATAAATATTTGCCCAGCGAAGTATTGGGATAGTGAGGAGTGGGGGGTCTTTACCTTGCAGTCTTATGCTCCTGACAGCTCAGCCTTAAGCCTGAATTTTCAAAATAGCTATGATAAGAAAGAGGTTGCTCAGCAACAAAGAACTGGTTTTTATCAGTGAGGAAAGAGAACATTCTTTTCTTTTGGCTGGTTTTATGAGTAAAGCAGCTTAGGACGCTATTGTAGCAGCCTGGCAGTCCCACTGTTTGGAGCACATATCTCTATAAGAAACCTTGCAAAGACGCACCTTGGCATGTTCTTGGAGGACTCTAGTATAAAATTATGGGATATAAGATGGACATTTTGGGCGGATTCTCTGTTCAGAGAGGCTGCGGTAAAAGGAATCTCATGACAGAGGGAAATCCCCTGGGTGTACAGTGCTGTGGGGTGCCATGATTTGGAGGGGATGGAGTATGTTATACAGCACTGTACCTGATCCTGATCTAGTGCAGTGGTGCCTGTGGGGCTGCTTTAGCTGCATAATTCAGAGGAGTCACCAGGCTGCTTTAAATTCACTGGGGATCATCTTAGCTTCTGGTGAACCCAGGACCGGGGAACAGAAACGTGGCTTAGAACTACCTGCCTCTTCACTTCTCCTGAACTCTGCCCAGTGTAGACTCATGGCAGCTGAGAATCTGGCCCATGATGTCTTTCAGAGCTGTTATATTTCTGAGTTAATTGTTGGTTTCTTATGTGAGGAAAATATTTTCTTTCTCAAGTACTTCCACTGGACATCTTGGTAATCCTAACACTGAAAGATTAATGTAAGAAATGATATGTGCGTCTGGTGATGTCACACTGCTCTGTTTCTTTACTGAGGCCCATACTCTGCAAAAACTTAAGCACATGCATAACTACGTCAACGGGAGGGACTACTCACATGTTTAAAGTTACGCATCTGCTGAAATCTCTGTAGACTCAGGGCCTAAGGGATTAGGCCCAAAAAGCCACAGTCCTGTTTGGTTACTGTATCTGAGATAACAAACAAAGCTCTTAAAAAGAAGGGAAGAAAAACCTTCCAATGCTCCAAACGGCATCAACGACAAAGGAAAAATTGGCACCCGTGTGCTTTTATCGAATCCAGCTTGTGAAGATAAAAACGCTAAATGGAAAAAATGAAGCAAGCTCAAGAGCTAGTGGATGCACATGAAGTAAGACACGCTGCTGTAATCTTTTCAAAAACAAAGGAGCCTGAGAAAGTTATTGGCATTTCTTTACAACCCTAATGAGGGTCATTAAATTATTAGGAGTTCCTTTGAGCAGAATAATACCTAAAGGGATGTTATGAAAAATGTTCAAAGTGGTGAATTATTTGATCTTTAAAAATGCAGTGTGTCTATTTGAAGAGCATATATTCTGACTATTTTTTAACCTCTTGTGTCCTGGTCCTCAAGCGGCACACACAGTAATAGCCTGAGTTGTAATGACACTGATACAATCCAGTATTCCAACTAGCAGACACCTACCTTCATATGTCCTGTTCCGTGTCTGATGAACAATTTTATCCCCATCCTTCTTGCTAAAGCCATATTTTAGGACTTCACGCAAAGCCAGAGCATAGAGGAGAATGGCATCATGGAATCCTTCCACAAACATGTTAATCTAAGAACAAGACAACAACATTCATCTTTTTATTTTTTACTCTCTGCAACTCTGGCATTCAAATAGTGCTTCATTATCACATCTAAACAGTGATACAGAGGAGAAATTCACTATACCACAGTTCATGTGCCAATCTGCGTATAAACTGTGCAGCTGATACCTTTGAGATGCTGAGTACCTTCTATAAGGTGCTGAGCGCCCGCATCCTCATTAGCCTGAGGGCCCTCATCATCTTGCAGGACTATTGTCTTACATCATCTTCTGTATTCAGGCCAAATTCTGCAGCCCTTGGCTGGGTAGCGTTTACACCCATAGTTCATAGGCTTACTAGACTAGTAGAACTGGATCAATAGTTTAATGCAGACATGCGCCTGTTCCAAAACCCCAGGAGAGCACATCTGGTTAATTGTCTGTTTTACACAGCACACTTCATTGGATATGAAAATATCCTCTCCCCATTATGTTTATGGAGAGAGGAAGTTTTTCTGACTTTGCTGACAGATTTGTTTGTTTAATGATTACTCCCCTCCATTTCTGCTGATTCTGGATCTTGCTCAACGGACCAGCTCTCCGCTAGCAAATGAACAACAGAGCAAGCTGTTTACTCTGTACTATGTAACGTTCTCTGGAGTTGCCAGAAAACTGGTTTCCCATCTTTTACGTCTGTTTCAGTAAATGGCATGAGCTAAATGAAATGTCATTTTCCAGTATAAATCCAAAAAGCAAATACGCTATTGTAAACCAGCACTGCCCTTCAGTGAGAGCAAATGTGATTTCACATTAGGGCTACATTTACACTGATCTCCAGAACACTTATGAACAGAGCAGTGCAAAAATTGGTAGGTTTGGTTCACAATAGGGGGCAAATTTAAAAAAAGTCTTTTTGGGTGCTATGTCTGAAATCTTATTTTTTTCAAGTTTTGGGTTCAAACTGAAAATTCAAACTCAGTTGAAGCCAGCTAAGTTTGCCTGATGTGAGGTCAAAACAAGAGAGTGGGTGGCAAAGTTCAGTGCTGGATCCAAACTTCCTCAAAATTCAGGGAGGTTGGAGCTGGGGATTTTGGTTCAGCGCCCTGTAGGGAGAGGGACCACACATGAACTCACATTTGGGTTCATTTCCCCCCAAAATCTGGGGTGTTCAGTTCTGAGGTTCTGGCTCAGGCCAAACCCACTGAACCTGAAAGGATTTGGGCCTGATCCTGGCTCCCACTGAAGGCAATGAGAGTGTTGCCATTGGCTTCAATAGGATCACGCTCCAAAATATCAACTAAACCCAAACCTGAGTCAATTTTGCTTGCTTTCTTGGAAGTGATATGCAATGTTACTTTATGCACCCAATTAAGAAGTGATTAAAAAAAGAAGACAAGAGTGTGCGGTGGCGTTGGAACAATTTGTACAGTGGTGGGTGCTGAAAGCCATTGAACAAAACTGTAAACCCTGTATATGATGGAAACCACTTCAAGCCAGGGGGTGCAGCAGCACCCCTAGTTCCAGCACCCCTGAGAGTGTGTATGTATACCGGTTTCAGAGTGGTAGCCGTGTTAGTCTGTATCAGCAAAAACAACGAGGAGTCCTTGTGGCACTTAGAGACTAACAAATTTATTTGGGCATAAGCTTTAGTGGGCTAAAACCCACTTCATCAGATGCATGGAGTGAAAAATACAGTAAGCAGTATATATATTACAGCACATGAAAATATGGGAGTTGCCTTCCAAGTGCGGGGTCAGTGCTAATGAGACCAATTCAATTAAGGTGGAAGTGGCCTATTCTCAACAGCTGACAAGAAAAGGTGAATATTAACAGGGAAAATTACCTTTGTAGTGATAACGAGGCCAATGCAATCAACGTGGACATCCCATTCCCAACAGTTGACAAGAAGGTGTGAGTATCAGCAGAGGGAAAATTACTTTTTGTAGTGACCCATCCACTCCCAGTCTTTATTCAGGCCTAATTTGATAGTGTCCAGTTTGCAAATTAATTCCAGTTCTGCAGTATACTGTATATATACTATATATACAGTTCTGTATACTGTATATGCAGTATGCCAATCATGCCCACTAGCGCGTGGGCACAACTCACACTGACTTCAATGGGAGTTTCACGTATGTAATGGAGCCCAGCACAAGGCTCAATTCGCGTGAGTGAGAGATGCTGCTTTTCTTCCACCCTTTAACCGTCCGATTTGTTTAGCTACTAAGTTCCTCAGGGCCTAGACTGACTCCTACTATCTCTGTGTATACAGAGTGCCAATACAATGGGGCCTCTGGGTGCTACAGCCCTATAAATCAATAATATTCGCAAATTCAGTGCTGACGTGAAGCTCCTGCAATCTCAGCTGAGCCCCATGTAGAAGAAGCTGTTGCAGCACTTTTCCTACATAGAAAGGGCCCAATTTTACCATTAAGTCAATGTCATGGAGCAGAAATGCTATGCCCAGCAGCCACACCAACAAGAATTTGACTTCTAATATGTGCCCCTTTTAGGAGAGGACCATGTGTGCACCCCTGTGTCTGATTAGCTCTGCTGGCCAGTGTGAGCTGTGTAGTCATAGCTATACCTCTTGACAGCTCCCTGCACAAGAGTGTCCTGGGGCTACAATTGGGACTAGCCTCTGCATGGGTATAGCACATGGAGGGTACAAGGAGACACCCATGTGCAATCATGCCAGGACCAAATTCAATCTGCAATCCGGCCCCCAATTTTTGTGCTCAATATAAACCAAAAAAAAATGTAACAATGGAAAGAAACAGCTAGTGAAAGGAAGATGACTTTGAGCTCAGTGGGATCACTCGTGCGAGTCAGTGTTCACCAATGTGAATAAAGTTTGCACCATGTAGTCCTGCTCTCCCCTCTCTATCTCAGTATATCTTATCTTATAGGTGCCTGAATCTTAGATTGCAGGGACTGCCTTTATGTTTCTGTTCTTCAGAAAGCAACAGTGCTTAGAAAAGGACTACATAATAAATAATAACACTGCCAGCTGATGCAGTGAATTACATTAGGAGCCTGGATTCAAATATGGATCCCATTGTAAGGCAATACCGCTTAAACTGGTCACGTGTTCCTCTTCTGTAAGCAATTGCTCACATCTCAAAACCACAACACATCCTGGGCTTGGTGCACAATAATTCACAGTGAATTATCTTTTCAGCCACAAGGAGGGTGGTCCCATTCACTCACAGTTTAGTTATATTGGAAAAGTGCCTGCCTGGGCTGCAACTAGCCAATGAGTAAGCAAAGATTTCACTCCATTGTGGGTCTCTTCTTGACATTTCTGGGGCCCCTCATCCCCAAATATATGGTAAACAATATTTAGTTTACCATTAATGTAATTGCTTTTGAACAGCTCAAAATCTGAACAAATAAAGTGCTGTTAAACCTCTCATAGTTGTAGCTGGGCATATACAATGCCAAAAGATAACAACATGTAACCAGTTAAGTAAATAGCTGTTACATAGATAATAAAGAATTACATAGTCGATTGGCTGTGTTAAGATAATCAAGCTCCTTGTTATGTAACTACACAGAAGACATTCTTTCGTCCTTAAGCCAGCTGTCTGCAATAAGCATAGTTCATCCTGACTCTGAAGCTCATAGAATCAAAGTTAAAATTTCTCTGACATCTTAATTGGGGCTGCAGATGTTTCTAATTCTCACCTGTGCTTCATTTAAAAAGATCTGCCAAACGTTTAGAGCCAGTGCCACAGAAGGAGCAAACAGTTCATGTGAATGAACTTCAGAAAAATGAAATGCAAAGGTTAAAAGGAAGCCACAGCCTAAAGATCAGGAAGACAAAATTATTTCTACCTTGAGAGACAGTAGACTCTCTCCAGCAGCTGTTTGCGTGGAACTGTAGGATCTGTGTGTGGAAAAGCTCACGCTTTGAAAGTCCCTCTTTATATGGATATTGGAGGGCTTAGGTTTTCATGTCTCTTTTTTTTTTTTTTTTTTTTTTTTTAAACAAACAAATAAAAGACAGAGTTGGGCAGCTCAAAATCCTGGCCCGCTGAAGTCAATGGGAGTTTTGCCATTGACTTCAATGATGCCAGGATTTCTCAACTGGATTTTTGGACCTAGTTTCATTAGGCTCCTGCCCTAACTCCTTATACATCACCTGTTGGATGGTTCCTATCTTTTCTTGGTGCTCTCCTCATTTCTATTCTACCAGCTGGTTTTGGCATGAGACCTATCTTATTCTAAAACATGCTCTTTTACTGTAGCAGCTTCTGATGCAAGTGCTCTTTTGTATGTGACATGAACACAGCTGGCTTTTCATTCCCAGTGCCCACTAAGAACACTTATAGGGTACCCTTTCATCACACTGGGCTTAATCCAAACAGCCTGAGTTCCTGAAAGCAGTCAGTCTTAAAGTACTGAAGATTAATAGTTTTAGTAATGTCTGCTTTAGGCCTGGCAAACCTAACACTGGAAATTCTGCTGGTTTCACGTTTTCCAGTTTAAAAAAAGTCATTCCCCCCATTTCTAGTGGAAGAGGCACCCCAAACTATGTAGTGCCTTGTGCATTGGTTAGCCCTCACATTAGTCACATAGCATTTTCAAGCACAAATGCTTACAAGGAAATATGGGATGTTATAAAGCACTTACAGTCTACCTGCCTATCCTCCTGCTGCACCATCTGGAAATCCCTATTGCTGTGATATATTTTTTTTTCTTTTTCACAATAAAGGTGTCACAGGCATGTGTAACAAAGAGCCCTCTTACGCTGTTCCTCTCTAGTGGTTGCACTGTTGCAGCTGAAAGGTATACTGCAAAGGAGAGGACATAGCGGTAAGATGAACATTAATTCATTATTTTGCTATTTAATGACTTTGAGATAATTTCACAGATTGTCCTGAAGGAACTTCTGTTCCCGTTATTGGGTACCATTCCATTTGTCTTTGATAACACTCATCCAGTTTCACTTTGTAGCTCTACAGCTGTAACTAGAACTGGTTTTTTTTTTGGGGGGGGGGGGAACCCTGTAAATACAAAATAATTTT